TTGTGGCAAGGCTGTATTCCTCCATTCTGTTTCTTAGTGCCTGTGTAGAGTTGCCTGAGTAGAATTGCAGAGTTTAAAATCATGCTTGCCTGCTTTTCTTCCACCTGTTATTGAATTCTATGAGCTTATTCTAACCGAGTCGCACAGGAGAAAAATAATCCTGGAGTGACCCCTTTGCACTAAGCAGTTGATCATATTTAGGGGAAAAAAAAAAAGTGAGAGAGAGAGAAAAATTACTTTTTTTTAATATAAGTTTTACTTTGGTAATATCCATAATCCAAATAGTTTTTACAGAGGCAAGAGAAACTGCATGGTTTAATCTCTAGATTTTACATAGGCCAGGTCAATTAACAATGTTTCATTAGCATAGTGATGTTATTTAGGAACATGAAAATAAGACATCCATACAGGACAGCTGTAATGCCTGAAAATGTGTGTAAGTGCAATGAAGATCTCTGTCAGGAATTCTCAGGTGAATCTTCTTATACCAATATGTTGTTACAGTGTGGGAGTACCTCCCTTACTGCAGTGCTGGCAGGGTGGTCCTCACTGTCCTTTGAAGTTTGCTGAAGAAAGTTCATGCCCATGCTTAAACTCCTTTAGCTCATGTTGCACGATGTTTGTACACTACAACCTCCGTCAGCACCGGTTTATTGGAGTTACGACACTGCATTGGCATTTTCGTGTTGTAGCCTCACAAAATGCAATTGTTCCTGCAACTTCTATACAACTTTCATGGCCTTAAGTGACTGAGTTTTAGATAAACCTGTGTGCTGCTTTAGTTCTGACCAAAGCGTTGGTTATATAAGTCTGCTCAGTGCCTTTTGGTTTTCATTGACATTGTCCTTCCAGTTCTTCTAGAAGCCCATGAGCTCTATAGGTTCTACTCCTGCAAGGGCAGCTGCTCAATTACATATACATTAGATGCCACTCTTGGACTCTGAGTAAAATATCCAAGTGATTGTGATTAAATTTGGATCCTATAACTTGAAATACCCTGTAGTCACCTTATGAAAATTGTAAAATATAATAGATTCATAACAAGCTTGACTTCGTTTGATTTCACCTGCTGCAGAGGAAAGCCCTGCGCTCTACAAAGGAAGAGAGGATGCTATGAATACTTTGTCATGTGATGCTAAATATGATGATTCTCAGAGTAATTGACCCCTGTTAAGTAAAAACTATGCCAAAATATAGCGATAAGAACACTTGGGTTTTAGTGCTATGGTTGTAGAAAGTTAGTGTGACATTATCTGGCTGTCTGAGAGGAGCTCGAAGGATGGTGTTGGGGAGCATAATGGAAAGAAAGGCTGCAGGAGACAAGTTTGTGGAGGAGGTCTTTCTTATCATTTGGTGGTTGACTTGGACACAACTGTGATTTGGGTTTTTTATTTTAATAAAAACACTAAGTGTATCAAATTATTTAATTGCTGCTGCTAAAGGGGGAACTTCTCTTGCCCCATCCCTTGCCTGACATTTAGTGTTTTTTCCCCTCTGGGGAGTTATTAAAGTTTATGAAAAATTCTAAAATTGTACACTTTTTTTGGCCATTTAACCATCTGAATCAGCTTGTCAGAGGATCATATGAATGCAGAAGTAGGTGAAGGAGGAGGAGATAAGGCAGTAAGCAGGGACAGTAAGTAAGGATTGCCTATCCTTGAGCCATTCCATAGAAGAGGCATGTGGTTTTGTGTAAGGATTAGCAATAAACGTTTAAATGTGTTATATGTTAATTTCCTATATGTATAGGCAACATTTTATGTATTATCATCAAATTTGCTCATAAGATTATTAGTGAAATCAAATTGTATTGACGACAAAAACTTTCATGTATTCACAAGAGGCATTATATGGCCATCATGTTGACATAATAGAAATAAAACTAATAGAACAAGGTATTTCAAGCCTATTATGGTTACAATACCGTATATACACAATGAGTATGTAAGCACTGGTAAAAGGATGTTTGAGATTTTTGCTTTTGAGAGTTCTTTTCTCAAGTGATTAGTTGAAGATAAAAAAATCAGCATAGGATCGGGCATTTTTTGTAAGTGTTTTGTCTGTCAACTGTTTTAATTTAGTACTGAGTACTGATGTCAGAAGATAATTAATTCATGGTACTCTCTCTAAATATCCTGGCTGCAGTTTCACTAGCAGGAACTCTTCTAATGTAAATGATTCCATTGATTTCAAGCAGCCAAAGTTACACATATCACAGAACATTGTTATATATTAAGATAAATAATACTTTCACTTTTCATGAAGAACATGAAGGTGCAGTCCTCCACAAAGAGAGGGAGAAAGCAGGGAGAGTAAGTAGGTCCTGATTCTCTTTTGAAAAACTGTTGGTGCTTTGGATCTCTATCTGCAGTTCTATAGCTTCTGTGAAAGAGAATAGAAAGTTTAATGAGGCTGAGAGTCAGCTGAGATGGTGGATAAAACTGCGAGGGAGGGGACAACATTTTGGTTTGTTAGTTGTTTTACATTGAGGGGAGTGATTTTGTTGGGGGGAGGGGTGTTGCTGGGGTTTTTTGGTTGGTTTTTTTTTCCCCTCCTGTAACAACCACATTGTAAACAGGATTCTGCCTTCCTAATAATCTTTGGAACTTTTTATGGGTTGCTGGAGCATGTTTCTCATCTCAGTTTTGGTAGATGTGTTCTTCAGGATATCAAGGAAGTGATAAGCAATCATGATAAAAAGAACAAGGTAACTAATTAAGCCTAGTTTTCAATGGATTTGTGTCATTTGACCTATCCATATTTCTACTGCAGTATCCTTGTCCCTCACAACCACCAATAATCTGTAGGAATGTAATTATCTCAGACATAGAATCAGAGAATAGTTTGGGTTGGAAGGGACCTTTAAAGGTCATCTAGTCCAGCCCCCTCGCAATGAGCAGGAACAGGCATCTTCAGCTCTGTCAAATTTGGGTTAGTTCAGTCAGTGAGAGAACAGTGCGATTTCCCTAGGAAAACAAGTTAAAATACTAGCTAAAAAATAGGGAGCTTTTCCAGACTTATTTATATTTTACTTCATTTATTAAAAGGAATTCCAATTTTTTATTAGAGAATTCCCAAATAAAAATACGTTAATTCAGTATTTTCAGAAACAACAGGGGGATGGAATGGGTGCTAGTTCATATTAGTTTTAAATGCAAGATTGGATTTTGTCTTTAAATATACATACACAGTGTGAATTGCATCTCTGTGAACAAAGGGTAATCCCAAACATGTAAGAATATTAATGTGTTCAAATAATGTTAAGTCTGGGTTTAAAATGTAAAAAAAATGGAAATTTATGTCACTCCACCTTCTTTTGTCACCTTCTGCTATGAATTGCAACATATTTAATCACATGAGTCAACACCAGGAAACTGATTTCTAAAGTCGAGAAGCTGTTATGTTAGCAGCATAATTAACTTAGAAACCTGTTGTTCATGATTAAGTTGGCTTGCAAAGTGGTAATATTAAATAATTTTAAGCCCTTTAAAAAATGATTAATGTATGAGGACTGTTGTAGTTCATTTTTAGGCATTGAAATTGAGATAATTCCCTCCAGACTGATCTTGGTCTCTATTTCCTGTGAAACAAGTGTGCATGCTGTCACTGAATGGGGAACAATAATGAAATTATTCTGAATTTTCCTTCTTTCCCATTCTCTGCCGTTAACTTAAAAGGGTTAAATTAAAAAAAAAAAAAGTTGTTTGTCCTAAATGTTCTTACTGAAATCCATTATGCATGAAAAGAGTCTGAGTCCATTTGCAAGACCTCTAAATGAACTCCATTCATTCTGTGCTTAGAAATGTCCATTCAGCCAGAAACAGACACAATAGTTACAACCTCATTTATTTGGCACCAATACCAGCTTATTACAAGTGAAGGGATTGTTATAAAAAATATAGTAATTTTTCTATGCTAGTTATATAATTCTTCTATAAAATGCCTTTAGGATCTGGATAATGTAATAACTGCATATATGTCCTTTGCCCATAGTTGCAATGTAGTAGCATTGCATTCATCTAACATTCTCAAACATTCATAGAGATTTAAAAATAGCTATTTTGAAAATGTAAGTTGATCTAGCTTGACTTATTTTGTTGTAAAACAAGTTATAGGGACATTATTTCTAGATGATTCAAATTAAGCCAGTTATTAATCATAGTTAGTGGCTATGGAGAAGAAAAGTTTAAAAGTTTTGTCTATTAAAACATTAAAACTTTGTTTACATTTGGAAGGTAAAGTATTTAAGATACACGTCAAAATGGTAGGAATATAGTATTATAATTTAATCACTTTTAAAATCCATGAAGGTAAATAAAGAATTCCATGCTCCACATTTTGTAGGTCATGAACATAAAGTGGGGATTGTCCCATTGTGATCAGCAGAATGTCATGATCCTCAGGTGTACATGTGTGCTATCAGACCATATTAGATTTTATTTTAAATTACTTGAAGTGTTGAGCAAAATTACAGAGGTATCAGTGGCTTTCGTTCTACGACTGGGAATGAACAAAAATGACAAGCATTTAGCAGTACCTGGCTTGCCTTACATGCAAGTAGGACTTTTGAAAGTTCTTGTTCTTGCGTGCCTTGTTATGATGTGTGTGAGAAAGTCATGCAGACTCCTGTGGGTGTTCTGTCCCCATTTGGGTATGGGAGGTTCTAAGGATCAATCTAAGCCACCTGAGTGTGTTTTCATTTGTTTCCTTTCCCTGATGGTCTGGGTGGCCGTATGCATTTATTAATTTCATAACATGCAGGTAGCATTTGATGTAGAAATAAGTATTA